CTCTCTCTCTCTCTCTCCCTCTCTCTTTCTCTGTCTCTCTCTCTCCTGCTCTCTCTGCCTGATCGATAACGGATTGAATAAGAAGTGTCATTGTCAAGTCTGCGGTTTCCTTGAAGAGTGATTTATGAACACTAAATGTGATAACATCAATGTTGTCTTTCTTATCTATCTACAAGTCTAAGTCCATCATAGAATAGACAGAGCATTTGCTTTCTATCATTATGGTCATTGTAACTGAAAACGGTCAAAAATGTCAGATAATTCTGAGGTAGATAGATAGATAGATAGGAAAAAGAGAAAATGAAAAATAAAAAGCAAGAAATACAGACAGATAGATAAGGGACCGAGATGAAGGGAGGGGAAAGGGGGAAGGGAGAGATTGTGTGTCTGTGTGTGTGTTTGCGCAGGTGTGCTTGTGTGTGTGTGTGTGTGTGTGTGTGTGTGTGTGTGTGTGTGTTTGTATGTTTATGGGGAGGGGGGAGACGGGTTAATACCAAAAGTAAAACTTTCCGATCAAGACGTCATCACGCCGTTTTGAGGTGCACTCAGAAACATCTTCGATGACGAAATCGGAACTAAAAAAGTATTTATTAATAGTAAGAAATCACCGTATTTTCCACATCATTTAATGTTCAGGGTAGGGGGGGGGGGGCTCGGGAGGGGCTTGGTCATGAAAACGTAACTTGAAAAACGGTGTTGCAATCTTTATTGTCGGTCATGACGTCTCAGCCCTCATCTGCCCCCCCCCCCTCATCTGCACATCCCATATTGTGGCCTCGTACCAGGTGTGTGCCTGGGACCATCCTGGTCGATAATAATTAATGCTACTTTAGACTGGTCACGCCCCCATCCAACCTGTTACGTGCTTCCTTTAGCCCTCTTCGTATAGATGAACAGACGATAGTATTCCATTCTCATCTAGATCTAGGCTTCCAAACACGTTAGAGAGTCTTTACCGTGAGGATATTTAACAAAAGTAGTCCTCTCTTGTCGCGGGTGATATCTGACATAAAAGTTTACCTTATTCGGAAACGGGATGGTCAATAACATATAATAATAGAATTTGACGCAGGTCGTGTGATCTATGAGAAATTTAAGAGGGAAATTGTATCACAACTCTTTACGTGTATTACTGTTATATTCTCGGATTTCATAACTGTAGCTTCATATCCCCGTTGAATTATTAAAAGTTCTTTGACGTTATCCGACAAGTGATGAGTCATTCTTTAATAACAGTACGTTATAATATATAGTATGTACTTTATTTTTAGTGTATCCTTCAACCCCCCGTGTGTTCTGAAGTATCTTTCAGTAAACTATAACATTATAAGAACTGAGACCACAGTTTGAGGAAGACATTACCATGTGTGGAAGGCTTGATGAAGTCCAGTGCAATGTGTTGAGCAGAATGAGACTGAACGTCTTAGTAGAAAGAGGCGAGAGTCCGTGTGCCTTTTATGATTCCACCCAGGCTGCGATGCCACTCTGAAAGACAAATTGAATATTCGGACGATCTGTTTAGTAAGTAAAGAGAGACTATGTTGCCAATTTGTTCGGAGATTCTTTGAGCTTCAACAATCCTCAAGATGTCTTGGAGTGCTAATAACTTCAACCTGACCAAAGACTCGAACAATCTTAGTGGTGAGACAGTTTCTGGCACCGCCCACAGTTCCACCGTTGGTGGAGACAGCATTATCAGCTACAACATCATCACTTCTGGAAGCAGCTATAACGACAACTATAACAACAACAATAACACGTTCTTCAACACTTCTGCCAGCCTTAACAACGCAAGCGTCAATGTGACTCCTGTGTTCTACCCTCTCCTGAAACAACCTTTGTCCATGACCATATTCCTCTCCACGATATACGGTTTGGTGTTCCTCTGCGCCGTGATGGGAAACTTGTGTGTGCTGTGCGTTGTCATAAAGGACAGGAATTTCCATTCCCCTGTCTACTTCCTTATCGGGAATCTGGCTGTAGCTGATCTCATTGTGGCTGTTCTCTGCCACCCGTTAACGTTGCTGACCAATCTGTACAACGGTAAGGTTAATGTAGTTAATGTCAATATTTAATTTTTTTTTAAATTGTGAGTATGTTTGATTTAAATGGAAAAGGACCCATTGCTATGCAACTGGGAGAGTGATACACTTGTATAGTGGTTGTCTTTTGCCATCCCTTAACGATGCTGACTAACCTTTACAACGTTGAGGTCAATGCAGTTAATGCCAAGATTGTTTCTGGTGTGTGTATACTTGATTTAATTTTTAAAGGACCCATTCCTATGCAACAGGGGGACTGATACAGTAAGTTGCAGAGCAGCTGCTGTCTTTTGCCATTCTTTAACGTTGCTGACTAACCTTTACATCGGTAAGATCAATGCAGATGCCAATATTCTTTTGTACGTGCGTGCTTTGATTAATTAGAAGAGGAGACATTGCTATGCAACTGGAAAAACTGATCCATTTGTGTAGTGGATGGAGTGCCATTCATTAACCTTGCTGACCAGAGTATACAACGGTAAGATGAATATCAATGGCAGGGTATTGCCACCTCCTGCAGGGAGGTGAGAAACTGTTCTGTGTCGGTCGGATGCGACACAGATTTCACCATTAGACACATAATTAACAGAATGCCCGGACTTTGGAGAGACCCGAAGGAAGTAGTTTAGAACATGCAAGATAAAAAGATCTTTTCTCTGTCTTTGATCCCAACATAGTTCTATAGTTTATGAAGGCCATCGGCTTTTCCACTTATTTGTATATGCCGTTAGTTTGATATTTATATAAATTGTCATTTTTAGATCGAGATTATAATCCTGAATGTTTAACAGTTTGATCTGATCCTTGACCAAAAATAAAGCCGTGCAAATAACTGTCGTGAATACAACAAATATGCGTTTCGTGAGCTATGACCATATGCAGCTGCGAGCGTGGTAAAACTCGTATTAAAGTAACTGAAAGATTGTTTGTTTTGTGCATATGCCTGACGCTTCCACCCTGTCGTAAATCTGTATCATGCATACTGCTTCAAAATCGGGGATGTTTGTGTCTGCATGTGTATGCGTGTGTTCGTGTGTGTGTGTGTGTGTGTGTGTGTG